AGATAAATTTGGCAACGTGTTCCAAAAGTGCATCAACGAGGCCATGCTGAGTACAGTCAGAAGCTCATTTTTTCTGTGTGATAGGGCCCATATGCAAGTATGTGAGAAAACCAAAACACATCAGGGCTCTAAGAAGGAACGGGTTGCATTAGGTCTGTTTATTCAAGCGTTTGCGTATGGGCTGTGAGAGCATCAGCTGGGACCAAGTCTCCTTCTTGGTTTCCTGTTTACTTGGCCACTACAATTGCAGTATCCGAATGCTTCACAGGTTGCAGAGAAAAGGAATACTGTTATCTCTGTCTCTGTGCAGCCCCCTGACAGAAGCAACCTGTTTGGCTGACTGACTCATTCCCTTTGGGATGCACACTCGGCATCTAACCTGAGTGGCTTGGTGAGGGCACCGGCGTCATTGACAGGAAAGCCTTTGGTGGCACTTCAACCTGCTCAGGTCCAGGTGCCATCTGAGGGACACTCCAGGTCTGGCCAATGGTTATGCTGGTCCTTCTGTGGTTGAAGGTTGGATGATGTTGCTCATGAGAAGCAAGTTGGTTCCGCCTGTGGGGAGCAGTGTGGGGCTGTGGGTGTTCCTTACTGGAACAGTCTCCCCTTTTGTGTTTGGGAGCTACCTGGTGAGGGAAAGTGGTTTGTGTGTGGATTCAGGTGTAATCCTTGTGGGATTTGGGACCTGCCAAACAGCTCAACCCGTGATGCCCAGTACACTGTTTGCTTGGGTTTGTCTCTTCTCCCCCAGCATCCCTATCCACATACTCCCACTCCACTTTATGCACAGCAGTTTTCTGAGGGAAAAAATCTTAACAGGTCACTGGTGCTGGGCTCAGTGAAGCGGACGAGGGTGGTTGATTCTGCACACTCAGGAGGATCCGATTTGCCTTTGCCTTTCCCAGGAGTGTGGACAGCTTCCCCACAGCTGCCAGGCAGAACTGTGGCACAGGAGCTGCTGGCACTGCTGCTCCGTGACCTGACGCTCTCCCTCTTCCCTCAGCCCTTGCCCCACTCCACGCCCCGGCTCGTTGGGTTGCTCTTTAATGTGACTTTCACATGGCTGCACGTTACAGTGCTTCAGTTACGGAACTGGCTCAGTTTCTTTTTCCTCGTGCGATCCGGAGTTTGCTGCAGTTTCTTCCTGATTGCAAAAGCCGTTGGAAATGGGCAGAATCATAAAAGCTTATCAGCGAGCAGTAACTCTCCCCTCGTGCCTCCCCAGCTCTGTTAGGCATTTATTCACTCCAGCGAGTTGTAACTCAGCGCAACAACTCGTGTTGCCACATCAGTCCTTCTTTATTTACGCCAAACACCACTTTCCCTCTCTCCTGCCCTCAGTCTCCGAGTTCCACGGCTCCAGAGCTGTGCAGCCGGGCGGTGGCAGCACTCCATCTCCCGGGGGAGCTGGGGCTGGCCTCGAGTAGCACCGGGAACAGGAACTCTGAGGTTACTTGCTGCTTGGAAAATGCCTTGCAAGTGTTTGGTGCTGCAGCGCAGAGACCTTCGGAAAGATTTCCTGATGTAAGGAGCAAAACAAATGCTGGCAGATGAATGCAGCCATTAGGAAGTCCAGGACCCCTCTTAGTACTAAACTGGTCTTGTTCTTTCCGAGTAGTCTGGTGGAATATTTCTGTGAGCTGTATCTGCTGGTGCTCTGCAGATCCGAGTTGCTGTTGTGCCGGGTAGGCCGTGTGTGACTCTCGTTCAAAACCTATTGACACATAACATCATGTCTAAAAATATTTGGCACCGGTCTAATCATTGGCCCGGAGAGGCCAGTTACTCAAGCAGCTCGTGTTTTTTCACTGGAGTGTATTCTGTCAGATCTAGACCCTGAAAATAGAAACCCAGTATTTTTTTGATTTTTTTTTTTAGGTTTGTTTGCAAAACGTTCAGTAGCAGTCACAAGGATGTGAATCTAGATGAGAAGTGCCTGAATGTCCCTTTACTTACGACAAGGAGCTGGTAAACCAGACTTAACTGAAGGCATACCTCCTTTCAGAGGCCCTAAAATTATTTCCACCCTTTTTTCTCTCCCTATATCCTTTCGTGGGATGGTGACAATACCTGGTCTTGCTGAGGTGCTTCACTGACAGGACTTTGCCAGTTTTCCCCTAAAGACCCAACTGAAGATTTTCTTGTTTCATGTGATTTTTTTTTTTGGTAAAGTTTCTGCAACTCCCATTTCATGGTATTTCAAGAATTCCAGGGGGCTGAGACAGTTTCCCTGTGCAAATTGGTAAAGGATGTTTTCTTGCTAGATTTTGGCCCGCAGAAATGCTGTGTTAATCTGAGAAGGGCAGAAAAGACCAAGTCAAGGAGGGTGACGCTTGGAGTCTAATCACCAAACTCCTGCGGATTAGAGCTGGGGCGCCGTGCCAAGGCAACCCAAGCTCTATTCCTGGCCCTTTAAAACTCCCCAGCTCTTTCAGATCCGTGTTTCAGGGAAAGCACCAGCCTTGCAGTGTGTCCTAAGCAGTTTTCCAACCCTCTGGGGCTAGAAAGTGTGGCTGTTTAATGCGATAAACCCATTCCAGGTGCCGTTCCTGGGAGCGAGGGGGCCATTCCCGCTGCTGTGGGTGCTCAGTGCCCGGCAGGGTGACACTGGGAGGATGCTCTGCTGTTGTGGGCAGGTTGAGCAGACATTTCACCAGGGGATGGCACCTGCGAACTCTGAGCACCGTACCCCTCGCAGGCAGTGGAAATTGCTCCCTTCCTTTCCCTTTTTCCCCTCTACCAGACTGTAGATTCTCAGTTGCCCCATGCCTGGGCTGATGCTGCCTATGACAGAGGAACTGGCCTTGGGACACAGTGTTTGGGAGGGCTGTGGGACGCACAGGTGCATTATACACCTGCGTATGTGTCCATGCTCAGGGAACAGAGGTGAATCCCGGGGTAAGAACAGACTTTACTTGGGAATAAAGCGCCTGCGGTTTGTGTTGTGTCTGGAAATCCAGTCCCATCTGTTCCAGATGTTTCCAGTTGTGTTTATAGCAAGCTGCTACTGTGCTGCTTTGTGGGAAAAAATGATTAAAAAAAAAATATTGGGTTGTGCCTTCACAACCGTTGCAAACAGGCAAGGGCATCCATGGAATATGTTCCCTTTTGTTGCCTCAGAAAAGATGCATAAATAGTCTTGAATAATTGAGTGAAGAGCTGGAGCTTTCAGGGGAGGCTGGTGTGTGCCTGAGTGCTGGCTTGGCATGCTGTGCTGGCAGGGAGCACGTCCCACCCCTCTGTGCTCAGCAGCAGCTGCTTGGGGAATGGCACCTTTCCTAGCTCAGGGAAATTTCTGCTGGAAATCCTCTGGCTCCTGGGATTCGGGCAGGAGCAGCCTGTGCGAAGGGGAGCTGCGTGTGGACTGGACCTAAACTTGGGGGCTGGTGCTCACATGTGGTTTTGGGTACGGTGCTTTATTATTCATTGCCATCCAATAATCCAGATGAAAAATGTGTGTTTCCATAGGCTTTGGTAGTGGGTTTGAATCTGACCCATTTTTCTTCATTGTTTTTTTATCTGTGACACATTTGAGACTTGGTTTGGGGAGTTCAGCTGCAGACTAAGAGCCAAGGATGAGACCAGTGGTGGGTTAGAAAGGCACTTAGGGTGGAGGAAAACTTGGCAGAGGTGGCTCAGAGCTGCTGCTCAGAAAATGGGACTCTGATGCTTCCTTTTGTGATTGAGTTTTATTTTTTGTCTTTTATTTTTTACTTTCTATTCAAGTAGGTGTTGGCATGCAAGTTAGACACCCTAAGGCATTCTGCTTTCTTGGTATTCGTCTGTTCAGGTTTTACACTCGTGAATTTGAATGTTCTCTTAAAACATTCGTAAAATTAAGTGTTTGCTGCTACTGCTCTTGGAGGATCTTGCATGGAAGCAATATGGATGGGAAGAAGTTTTGAAGGCCTTGTCTCTTTCTGGGTCGAGTTTGTCTCTGTTCCACCAAGGGAATATAAGGAAAAGGTGTTTTATGCCTGGTTTTTGGTAGGGAAAACAGGTTACCATCCCAGTCCCAGTTGTATTTGCATAGAAAGCTCCCCCAGCGACTGCCCAGCAGTGAACAGCAAATGTGTGCTTAGCCTCTAAGGAGATTATTTAACACAGCTCCAATTTGTTTTTTTATTATTATTTTATTATTTTTGTGTTTGCTTGTCAAGAGTGGATTTGCAGATGTGCCCTTGGAGAGTGGGCAGGGTCTGATTTTGTGGGGGAAACAGCAGCAGGAGCTCTGGGCAGTGCTGCAGGAGCACAGCGATGGCCGAGGCGTGGAATTAGGAGTCTCTGTTGTCCACAGAAGCGGATGAGAGGTGGAGGGAAAAGGGGAGGGGAGGGAAAGGCAACTACTAAAACCCTTCCCCAAATGGATGAATGAATGGGTGACACACATAAATGGCTGCTGTGATGGTCTGACTTACTGTAGCTCAGTCTCGGGATAATCCTCATATGTCAGATTTCTGTAAGGCCAGCATGTGACACAAAGCTGGGCTCCCAGCAGACAAGTGTGCTGTGCTGGTATTAAGGGGCTGGCCGGAGCCGGGCTGTGCAGTGGAACGTGTGTCCGTGTGCGGGGTGCCTGCTCGCCTCCGGACGCGGCCCAGCCGCTGCCGCCTGCCAGGGGAGCTTGACAGGGAAGCTGGAATTCCACAAACTCTTGGCTATTGCATAGACAGCCCCCAACCTGCCTGGTTGGGGAAAAAAAGCCCCAACACAAGAAACAGGAAAACCCCCAAAGACTTGTAGCCGGGATTACCTTGCTCACACCTGTCACCGCTGATGTCCTCTCAAGGTCAGAATTCGAGCTACGTGAGGCCAGCTTAGAGCAAACGCCATGTGAAAGGAGCTCTATGAAGGAACAGCAGGCACTGGAAGGAGGACAGGAGTGCCCACAGGAACATGAACAACAGCTTGCAAGTTAACCTGCCCAGGACCTGGGCTGGTTCGAACAGCTCCCTCCAGGAGAAGTCTGAGCATTCCTTTTTTCTTTTCTATTACTATAGGATGGAGGACGAGGCAGTACTGGATAGAGGGGCTTCCTTCCTTAAACATGTATGTGATGAAGAAGAAGTGGAAGGTAAGAGACTCGGACTGCTGGGGAGGAAGGGTGCCTTTGCTGTGGTGTTTGTATGTAGTAAACTTGGTTGGGGCAGAACTAGCTTTTTAAAGAAATCCTCTCTTTCGGTTCAGGAGCGAACATTGTCGCATGTGCCGGCACACGCTGCCGCTGCCCCCAAAGTCCTGTTTGCTGTGTCTTGCACAGGGGCTGTGAAACACCTGAGCTGTTTGCTTTGCCTTCCTCTGGGAATAGAGTTTTGGCAACACTTGCCTATCACTGCTGCCCTGGGGAGTGCAGGAGTACAGAGGCAGGTGGAGAAGCCAAGTGGAAATAGCAGCAGAATTTGTACTGAGTGTTGGGGTGGACATTTGCCTGGGTTTTCCTCTGAGCTCGGGAGGCATAAAGACAAGGGTTTTCCCTTGAGGAAGAACTTGTTAACAGAGCAAACAATTTCCTCACTTTTTTAGGGAAAGAGTATACTCCTTTGGAAGTGTGTTTTTTTTCTCTCTGAAAATGTTGTGAAATCTCAAAGGTGAAAGGAATGTAAAGGAGTTTACTTTGAGGTTGTTCCTGGAAAATTCTGAAGCTGATAGGAGTGAATTATTTGCAGCAAATTCTCTTTTTCTCATTTTCTGAGAATCAGTTGACCATGGGCTTCATAAATTAGTGGGGGAGAAGGAAGGGACCATGATAGGGTAGGACTCTACTGGAAAGCAAAGGATGTCACCTCGCAGCACTATCCTTCCCCTCCTGACTTGAAGATATAATTTATTCTAATTTCTTTATTTGCAAACAAATGCCTATGGGTTTTAGGTTGAAAATGCTTTGAAAGGTGTAGGGTTACAGGCATGTCATTGTCACCGATAATGGACAGGAGAGGATCCAGCAGTAGGAGAGAAAATAAAATAATCTCCAAGAAGAGGAGTTAGAACACTTCCAGCAAACCAAGCCAGTCCTTTCCACGAAAAACCTGTTTTCTTGCTCTCTGGGATGAAGTAATCTGTGCTGAGTCGCTATAAATCATCACGTTGTATTTAATGAGGCCATTTGCTGTCTGCGGGGTCGGGTTTGTATTAGCCTTTTGCTGCTGGAATAATTGGCACTTTGGCACAGCAGAACCACTTGAGAGGGGAGAGAGGGAGAATATTTCTAATGTTTTATTGTCTTAAATGTTGCCACATGCTGTTGTGGTGTGTATTGCCCACGTGTGACACTCCAGGAATATAATGCAAGTGGTTGTTGGTGACGAGGAGTGTGGGAAGGTCCTTTTAACTGTCTGCAGGGGCTGTGAAAAACTTGTGGTTAATGCAGCAGTGGTGTGTTTATATCCCACGTTCCAATGTGCATATCCTCATTTGGTTTAGTTGGGCTAAGAGACCAGTTGCATCTCGCTGGGGGAAGGAGGAGAGGAGGTAAAACAAGTATTTCTAATTGCACATGACAGGCCTCTGGAGCTGGAGCCGCTCGGCTGAGCCTGTGGAGAGCCTCAGAGCTGTGTAGCCAGCTGATTCCCTGGAATGAATTGTAGACTCATAGCACTCTGGCTTGGAAGGGACCTTAAAGATGATCTGATTCCCACCCCCTGCCATAGGCAGGGACACCTTCCACTACACCAGGTTGTTCCAAGCCTTGTCCAACCTGGCCTGGAATGCTTCCGGGGATGGGGCAGCCACAGCTTCTCTGGGCAACCTGTGCCAGGGCCTCACCACCCTCACAGGGAAGAATTTTTTCCTAATATCTAATCTAACCCTGCCCTCGATCAGTTTAAGATCCAGTGGAAGAGCTAACACGTCAGAGTACAGACCTTTGGCTGACATTTGGTGCAGATGCTTTTAAGTCCCTGCTAGATTCCTGCACTGCCAGTGGAGTGTTTTCAAGGAGGAGAGCATCTATCTGGAGGCCTGGAGCCGTTAGCTCCAAAGTGCCCTCCATTACTGCCCCACTTTCATGCTGTGGTTTCAAGTTGCTGTTCTAAAAGGCTTTCAGGGGCTACATCCTCTGAAGGAGGTAACAGCAAGGGGAATTGTTACCTCCAGGTGTGTCTTATTTTTCTGATAGTTTATACTTTTAGCCTACTTTCATGAGGTAGCAACATACATATCCTGAAGTTGTTTGCCTCTCTTGCCTCTTCTTTCCATTCTTCTCCCAAGTATTTTTTTACTGTCAATATTGATTGAATTTCTTAGGAAGGCTCTTCATTCATTTAATTTCACTGAACTTGAGTGGAGAGACTGTTTTCTTTACCCTCTGTGAGGGAAAGGGGAGTTGTAACCTTTGTCAGAAGAGAGCTGATGGTGTAGTGATAGAGCAGTTGAACTTGGGGATTCCCTGGCTGCAGGAGTTTGCAGGAGAGAACAGGGAAAACCCTTCAGCAAAGCATTATAATGTGCCTTAAAACCAGGCTGCCTTTGCTGCTTGTGAGTCGGTTTGATTCCAGACAGGTGAACGCAGAATTTTGAAGTTGTCACCTGGAGCATCCCTCTTTGGCATGTTCTTGGGGAGAAGGGAGGAACATGCCTTGCTTGGTCAGTGATGCCCTCGGGTTATGCCTGTGGGAGGGAGATAGAAACTCTGAAAGACCACATCACCCACTGATTTGATTGTGTAACGATGCGGGAGAGAGGGAAGGACTTGGCTTTTTAAGGAGGGGAGGAAACGGGCATTTCTGGTCAGGAGGCTGTTGAGACATTTCAGCGTGGCACAATTGCGAAGTAAACGTAACGTTAACAGAAACTGTCCACACCTGACAGAAGTACGGCCCTGGCACTGCTCCCGGGGGGTTCACTGCCTCTCTCAGGTGGCACCTCAGCCTGGTCCTACGCTGGAATGTGTCACTGTTGACATTTGAAAATGACCCCCCCTACAGCCACTCCCTGCTGCCTGTCTCGGCGGGAGGGCTCTGTGGCGGGTTCCATACACGTTAGTTAGGAGGAGCTGCTTTGCTGGAGGTGCCCAGAAACGTGACCTGGCGAGACAAGGGGTCTGCCCAGGTCTGGGGCAGAGCGTGGAAGGAAAGCAAGTGCAAGTCAGCTTTCCTGGGGGAAATGAGGAAGAGGCACTGCCCTGAGCCATGTGAGAGAACCCTTCCCATTCATTTAGAGCACTGCACGTTCCTTTCCTTGAAGGTAACGCAGTGCTGCTGTAATGCCACTGCGAGGAGTGCTGGTATGTGTGACATAAACAGATTACTTAATAACCGATTCTGCAAGAGGGGAAAAGTAAAGCTCCACCTTATCCTCTGAGATAAGGTATTCTTGGCTCTCCGAGCGTAACTTCCCCCGGGCTCGCTGCCGCCCTGACTCCGTGGTGGGGTGGAGGATGCTGGGTTTCAAGTCTGCTGCAAAGCCTGAGGAGCACTCCAGCTCCACGTGTAGGAAACAGGGACCAGCACACCTGTCCTGCCCTCCAAATGATGGGCAAAGGAAAGGTTAGGATAGCATCTCTAAGATACCACTGCTGTAAGAGTGAATTCAGGAAAATATGCTGCTAGTGGAAACTTTCCCTGGATCCTGTTATCATTGTGGGATTTGCTGTTGTGCTGCAAACTCTGCAGAGAGGCTAAACCATGGATTTTGTAACAACATTCCATAACTACTTGTTCCATTTTAGCACTTTCCTCCTCCTTGCTTTCTATTCTGGACCGGGTTGTGTCACTGCACTTTGCTGGTAGAAAGCTGTGTGATGCCATAAGCCCAAGATTAGTCCTTGATGGTTGGATCAATGAGGAGAGAGGTTAAAAGGGCAAAAATATCTGTGAACATCTTTACCTTTATTAGCAGCGTGCAGACAGTAGGAGAAATGAGCTGTATTTACCCACTTAATTGATTTCTTTTTCTCCTCTCATCCCCACCCTCAGTCTTTGATCCGTGACTGCAGGCAGACCTCCTCCATTTTCAGAAACAACCACATGATCTGTTTCATATCAGAGTTTTTAATTGCTTCTAAAATAGATGTGATTAAAAAATTAGTCAGGTAAAATCTGATCACAGAGTGTACTTCATTAATATTCTTTGGTACCTTTAATTTATGTGTGGAGACAAACGAGGCTGTATTTTGCTGTGGTAAGGCTGAGTCAGGCTTTGCTCCTGCAAAAGCCAAACGCAGAGGACTCAGGCACTGCCTTTTTGCTCTCTTTCCATACAGCAGCTGGCACAACTTCCCTGCGAGGGTGGTGAGGCCCTGGCACAGGCTGCCCAGAGAAGCTGTGGCTGCCCCATCCCTGGCAGTGTCCAGGGCCAGGTTGGATGGGGCTTGGAGCAACCTGGGATAGTGGAAGGCATCCCTGCCCATGGCTGGGGATTGGAATGAGGTGATCTTGAAGGTCCCTTCCAACCCAAACCATTCTGGAATTGTATGAACTTGGGAATGGCAGGCTCAGGTTGGGACCTAATGCTGCTCCACACAGCTAATGAAAACGAGATGGGTGGTTTGGATCTTCCCAGCTTTGAAGCATCGGGATGAAAGATTTCAGATTTTCAGATTTTTTTTCTCTCCAGCTTTAATTCTCCATGGCACTTTGCAGGAGGCTGCTTATTCTTGGCAGTGTCCAGCAGGTCATTGCATGGGATACCATTCTGGGCACTGCCCTTGTCTGTCCTCTGCTGCCAGGAATCAGCCTTAGCTCTGGGCTTGTCGGGTGGGCTGAGGAGGTGTTGATTCCCGCCTGCTCTGTGCTGGGTGAGAAAAGCTACAATCCGAGTTCAGAGGGTGATAAACTGACTTTACACAAGGCAGTGATAAGTTGGCTGTGCAGGCAGGAGAAATGGAGAGGAGCAGCTGCGTCAATAGCTGGCGTGGTGGGGGAGAGGTGGTGGTTTCTTTTCAGTGATGATAAGTTTTGTGCCAACACATGCTCAGTGCGAGGTGAAGGAAGGTGTTTCCATACCATTCTGACAGTGACTGGCTTTTTTCCAGCTCCTATCAGTTTAGAATCACAGAATCATTTAACTTGGAAAAGACCTTTAAAGATGGTCAAGTCCAACCATTTGGAAACGGTCGTCAGCTCTCTGACCTGGCGG